AGCCTTCCCGGGCTGCTCAGGGCCCTCCAACCTGACAGCCCCCCACAACCTGGTACCACCTGTTTGGGGCTGCGTGTTTGTGTTTCCCCAAAATTCATACGTTGAAGCCCTGACCCCAGGGTGATGGAATCAGGCCTTTGGGAGGCGATGAGGTCGTGAGCATGGGGCCCCATGATGGCATCAATGCCCTCCCCCCTCTTCCCACCAGGCACAGGAGGAGCCCTCACCAAAGCCCAGCCCCGGGGGGACCGTGACCTCGGACCTCGGTGTCCAAGGGCTGCGAGAAGAAGCGTGTGTGGGCGAGCCACCCGGTCCGGGGCTCTGTCAGCAGCCCAACCTGGACACCCTGCCGAGAACAGCCCCCACGTGCTCCCCGCCGCCCTCCCACCCCCCATCGAGGGGCGGATCGTGTGCACCACCCGCACCACCACCTGGCCACCAGCTCCCGGGTCACACCCACGGCGGCCGGCAGCCCCTCACGGCCACCAGCGGAGAGCAAACACTCAGTACCCGCCACGTCCGCACCTGGAGCCACAAGCAGCCCGATAACCCCTGGCCTGGGGTGAGGCTCCCGGCCCGCTGCTCCTGACCAGCCTTATCTGTTTGCTTTCCACCCAGCATCCGCTGGCACTCAGCTCAGCACAGCACCGGGCGGGGGGCCGGGGGCGCGCGCTGAGCCGGCCCGCAGCTGAGGGGCAGAGGGGGCGCAGGGCTCTGGCCAGAAGCTGAAGACATCAGAGTCGCCTCCAGCACCTTTGGAGGTGGAGACTTCGGGACCCTCAGCTCAGGGCTGGAGGCGGGGGTGGGGGGGGAGCCAGGCCCAGGAGAAACGTGACTCGGAGCCCCTGAGGGGCAGCCCCAGGTCCCGAGCGGGGTGGGAGTGGGAGTGGGTGCCGGTCGGGAGGGGCCACTCCACCACCGTGGGGTCAGAGGTGCCCAGACTCAGGGTGGGGGGAGGATCATTCAGAGCACCGGGGCCAGGGGGCACCCCAGGTGCTGCCCAAAGAGCTGGGTCGAGCACTGCCTCCTGGGAGCACGTCTCCCCGACCCCAGCTACGCTCCCCCCTGGTGGGTGGAGCAGGTGGCCAGGCCCCCATCCCGCCGGAGCTGCCTGGGCAGCAGGTGAGCATCCAGCCCCAGGCCTGCTTTCCCAGCCCACCGTGGCTCAACCTGTCCCTCAGCCCCCTTGTTGTCCCCCCATCAGGCCCCAGCACAGGGCCAGGCACCTAAAATATACACAAAGGACCAGAGGCCCTGGCCAGGAGAGGGGTGGAGCTGAGCCTGTCCATGAGCACGGTTCCACCAAGCCTGTGGCAGTGACTCCCCCACCCCGGACCCCCTAACCTGTCCCAGGTCCAGTCCTATGCCTCAGCCCCCTCCTGCAGCCACAGCCATGAAGTCCTGTCCATCTGACAGCTACACGATGGGGCTGTGGGCAGCAGTCAGCACTGGGGCTGCCCTGCAGGGGTGGGGGGCAGCACACACCCCAAATCCGGGCCCAGGAATTTTGGGGGAGAGCTGGGGCCCAGGGGTAGGCGCTGGGGCTGGCAGGGAAGCCCTGGGCCCCCAGAGAAACAGCCCGCCCCAGCCCCTTGCAGCACCCTCCCTGGCTGCCCAGGCCCCTCGCCTGTGTCCCTGGCTCAGTGGCTTCACTTCTGCCCAGCAGCGTTGATCCCAGCAGCTCAGGATGGGGGTCTAGAAGGGCCAGCAAGAAGCAGGAGTTGGCCAAGGAGTGGACAGGAGGCCAGGGAGCTGCAGGTAAGGTGGCTGGGATGTGGCGGCGAGAGCCTGGGTCTCCCTCTCAGCCCTCACGTGGCCGGTCCCAGCTGGCTTCAGGGTGGGGGTCTCGAGGAAGGGGCTGCAGGAAGCTGGAAGCGGTGTGTAGGGCCCTCTTCCTGGACACTAGGCTCTGGGGCTGGGGGTAGGCTCAGAGCAGGCTTCGGCCAGGGCTCAGGCCCCCTCGGGCTCCCTGCCTCACGGCACCGGCCACACAGGCGGAGGGAGCGAGGGCAGACAATCACCCGTGTGTCCGGGGTTCCGCTCCCTGAGGCCGGCCAGCGGGACCGCTCCTGTCGCCCAGCCTGCAAGGGGACAATGGCGAACAACGGCCACACACATGCTTATCTCCCTGCCACCGTTTGCTCAGCGCATTCCAGCACCCCCAGGTCAGCAGACAACAATGCCATGCTCTGTGGTTTCCCGCCAAACCACTGTGTAGAAAGGGAAAAGGGGCCTCAGCCCCGCCTTGCTGGGAGGGAACAGGACCCGGGTGCCAGCAATGCTGAAAGGTCAGAGCTGTCCGCTAATTTCAGGACCTGGGCCGCCTGCGGTGACAGATCCTGGACCGCACGGCACAACTTTCCCAGGAAACTCAAACCAAGTCACACGCACACATACATGGGCCTCTGATCCAGGCCCCGGGGGCAGCCGATTGCAATCCAGTGACATCCCACACCAGCCAGGGCCACCCCTGCAACCCTCAGGCTGCTGGGAGGTGAGCCTGGGCCCCAACGAGGGAGCCCCTTGCCTGCCACAAGCCCCACCCCACCCAGGACACAGGAGTGTCCGGAGACCACAGTCTGCCCCACCTGTCCCCTGATGTGTCCCGAGGCGTGGGCCCCCTGCAGGTGCTGGGACACACGGAGAACAGTTGGACGGGCCCATGGGGGGAGGACCTGCTGGGAGACACCACAGCGCCCAACATGCAGGGCACAGTCTGGAGAAGGGGACAGGGGAGGCTGTCAGAGGGGAGGGGAGGAGCCAGGGGACATCTGGGGGCCGTGTGCGGGACACCAAGGGCAGCCGACGCCAAGGCCCTGCGGTCGGGGCGCCTGCCGGGCAGGGGCTAAAGCAGCTGGGGACCCGGAAGGGTCAGGGCAGAGGGATGGAACGGGGGCCGTGAGAGAGAAAGGCTTGGGGCTTGATCCCACAGCCGGTCCCGGTGGCAGGGGACCTCTGGGGGACAGCCCCACCCGGCCCATTCTGGAGCCTCGAACTGCCCACCGTGGGCTGCACCCAGGCCCTGGGGATGGCTGTGTCTGGTGGGAGACGGCCCGGGTGGCCTGTCGGAGCGCTTGCCTCCCTGCTTGTCCCAAGGCCCGAGGGGCCGTCTCCCTGCAGCCCTACAGTGTGCTCACCCTCCCGGGGCTCTGGTCAGGGCTGAGGGCCCCACCCACCAGCCTTCCCTGGCCCTCCGTCTGGAGCTGCACGAGTCCCGCTGTGAGCAGGAGCTCCCCGAGGGCAGGGGGAGCCCCCACGGAGGCCCCTCGGCAACGCCCAGGCAGACGGCCACGTGAGCCCACTCATGCCCAGACCACAGGCCCCTTTCAGCACCATCCCTCCTGCAGGGACCCCGGCTGGGAGGGTCCGGGGTAGGGGCACCCAGGGGGACCTCCCTGGGACGCCCTCTGCCCAGCCCTGCATTCCTAGGCCTGGGGTTCTCCGAACGGGGTGCCAAGAGCATCGTGGAGAAATGACAGAGAACAGGGTGCCCAGAACATCCCACCTGCCTGCCCGCCCCCCAGGGCTGAGGCACCCGCAGGCCAGCAGCTCGCCGAAAGCGGTTTCCTGTTAAAACAACTTTCTATTAAAACTAACATTTATTTAAGGTAAACACACAGCATCTTCTGTACCTCTGAGCCGGGAGCGGGTGGCCCCGCGGAGCTGGGCGGTCTGTGAGGTATGAGGAGGCCCCAGACACAGTCTCTGTGGAAGGAGCCCAGGTCCATGTGGGGCAGAACCGCCTCAAGAAGGCAGAAGCTCCCTGTGCCAGGCCCCCGGGGCTCCTACTCAGGGCCAGGATGCCCTGGAGAGGTCGGACCCGCCCTGTTCCCTGACTGCGAGACAGTCCCGTGGAAAATTCGAAACACCTGTGCCCCGACCCGCGCCTCACCCTGACCCTGACCCTCACCCTCACCCTGACCCCTCGCATTGCGGGCGTGTGAGCTGCCCGTGGACAAGTGCCCACCGGCCTCACCGGCCTCCCGCTCCCCAGGGTGCCTCCCCCAGGAGCCATGTTCTTCTGTCCTTCTCCCAGGGGGGTGTGGGCACAGCCCCTGCTTCTCTGCCTGAGCGGGCCGGGCACCCTGAGGCTGCACAGGAGATGCCCCCCCAAGGCTGCCCCATTCCTGCCGTGCCTGAAGCAAGCAGCTCAGAGCCATGTGGGTTCAGACAACCGTTAATTAGGGGCCCCGGGGCCCAGCAGGACCACTCTGCCCCTCCCACGACCCAAAGTCCCAGGCGGCCAGCTGAGAAGGGGGTCTCCAGCAACGAGCTGGCCAGCCAAGGCCCTGCACCCCAGGGATGTGGTGTCAGCCCCACAAGCTCCTCAGGCCTCCAGGGAGGCCTCCATCTGAGCCACAGGGCCAGTGGCCCATGCGTGAGCGCCCCCCAGCCGGGACCCCACCCCGAGGGGCAGAGTCTGGACTGGCTTGCCCTCCTCTGGAGAGTCCCTGCCACTGGGCAGTCTTTCCTCCCAAGGTGGGGGTGGGGGCCAGTGTGCGGGCACCTTGTAGGTGTCCTGGGTCCAGGTGAGGATGAAGCGCCCCCCAGAAGCTCTCTGTGTAGCACCCTAGAGGGGGTGCCCAGGCATCTCCCCCCACATGTCCTGGACAAGCCCCCTCTCAGTCCCCAGGTGCCCACGCTGACTCTCTGGACCGACCCCCAGGGAGACCCCTGGCAATTGAGGTTTCACCGGAGATGTGTGCAGGGCCCCGGAGGGTGTGTGCCAGCCCCCTGCTCAGAGGTGAGTGACAACGGGGCCGCTGCCCGCTGAAGAATTTTCCAAAGGCCAGGTCCTGATAAAGCAGCGCCCCAGATCCTGTTTGGCCACCACTGGACTGGCTGGCCATGGCAATTACCGGACGGGAGCGTGGGGCACAAGCAGGCGGGGCGGGGCAGGGCCCCTGGCCCCTATATAAGGCGCCGGGGGAGGCCACTCCGGCCGCACAGGTGCAGCAGCCTGCCCAGTGCCCCGCGGTGGCCGCTGTCCTCTCCGCGCCATGCTCGGGCCCCAGCTGCTGCTGCTCCTCTCCTGCGGGGGTGCCCTGCTCAGCGCCGGTGAGTGGGGGGCTGCAGGCCGTGCACCAGGGTCGGCCAGACACCCTCAGAGGGCTCCTGCACGTGGGAAGTCCTCCCAGGCCTTCTCGCCTCTGCGGCTTGGCCGTGGGGACACTGATGAATGGGAATGGGAGGCGAAGCCAGGCCCAGGAGGCTTCTCCTCGCTCTGCAGCTGCCCCACACTTGCCGAGGCCCAGGTCTCCGCCGGCGGCCTCGGAGCCTGGCCCAGCCCGTGGGAATCAGAGGGGACGGGCAGTCTCCTCCACAGTAGTGGGTGCGGCAGACGTGGGCGTGCGAGGCAGGGACAGTGCTGGGGCCTCAGCGCTCAGAGCCTGGCCCTGTCGCTCTCCCCGCTGGGCCCTGGGTCCCGAGATGCCTCTGGGGGTCCCCAAGGGGCAGCCAGAGGGCGTGAAGGGGTCCTTGTGGGCCTTGAAGTCCAAAAACTCAGGGAGACACCCCGGCTCCACTGGGTCCTGGCTGCGAACAGACACACCACGAAGTGGGCTCTGGGCCTCAGTTTCTAGGTCTGTATGAGTGCGGGCGATGCCTCCCTTTTGTGTGGCTGCCGTGAGGACTGAAGACCTGGGAGGCTGGAAGGGGCCGCCCCACCCGAGTGCCCCCAGCCTCACCCATCAGGCTGTTGGGACGGGGGTCCCCTTCCTCCTCCCCCAGGTCCCTTCGGCCAACCAACCCAGGCACAGGAGATGCCGCAGGCCTAGGAGGCTCTCACCCCAGCCCCGCCCCACAGGAGGGGCCAGCCCCAAGGGGTGTCCAATGGCCCAGGGGAAGCCCCTTCCTGCTGACTGCAGGCACCCGCCCCAGAGCTCCGGTCACCAAGCCAGCGGGACTCCTCCTGCCTGCCTCCTAGGTCCTTGCCCCACTGCCCGCTCCTTGGCGGCCCCAGAGCCCCACCAGCCTCAGCTAGCAGCCAGGGAGAAGCGCCAGGCCTGCCGTCTGGCCATGGCCCAGGCGCTGGGGGCAGACTGGGGGCTCCGAGTAGAGCAGGCCTCCCCTGGGCCCGTTCCACCCCTTGCCTCCCACGAAGCCCCTTCCCCACCCCCCAGACCCCAGCTTTCCCACCAGGGGTGGTTCTGAGCACTCAGGACCCCTGCCCATCCAAGGCCGCCTCCCTGGGCCCATCCCTCGCCCTGGGGACCCCCAGACCTGGACCCAGAACCAGGGCGAGGAGGGAGGTGTTCGGGAGCCAGTGGGGCGGGGTGTAGGCCAGCAGGTGTAGTGAGGGGCATGGCTTTGGGGAGCCATGGGGGTCCAGGCTGTGAACGCTGCACGGGGCCGGGGCGGGGCCTCTCCACGTTTCAGCAAACACCCTTTGAGCACCGATTCCGTGCTGGCATGGGGAGGCGGGGAGCGAGAGACAGGCCCTGCCCTCCTGGACCAGAGGCCTCAAAGCACAAGTTCAGAGACATCAGGATCTTGGGGGCTGGGGATTAAGGGACAGAGGCCCCTGAGCCAGGCCAGGGTTGACCCAGAATGGGCAGGGCAGGCAGTGCTGCCAAACGTGCAGGAGGAACAAACAGCGTGTGCCCCAGCCACCACAGGGCGCATCCAGGGGCTGAGAAAGGCCAGGGGCGGCGGACCGGCCCACCCTGCAGGCCCCGCAGGTCCCAGCCAGGGAGCTGAGCGCAGTGGGAAGCTCAGACAGCCCTAGGCGAGGAGCAGTGACGCCGCTGGGGGGCTGTCGTTCAGCCAGTGGGGCCGCAGGGCCGGGCGGGGACCAGGCAGAGCCGAGGACCGGAGCGCAGCGAGCTCGGGAGGCTGGTGCTGGGTGACAAGGCGAAGCACGGGAGGAGCCGCTGCGAGTGGGCACCTGGGAGTGGCCCTTGGGGAACAGTGGGCGCGACTCTAGGCATCGGGGGGCCAGTGATGAGGCGAGGAGGGGCCCCAGGCGTGGACGGGCGTGGTGGGCACTGCAGAGGAAGGCGGCCAGGTGTCACCTCCCGCCCGGCCTGGGGACCCTGTGCCTGCTCCCTGGCGTCACCCAGAGAAACAACACCAGCAGCGACCAGCACCGTGACTCGGGAGGTCAGTGTCACCCAGGAAGGCACAGACCCCGGGGAAAAGGGGGCGAGGCGGGGAGCAGCAGGGACGGGACCCCGGGGGCCGCATTCAGCGATGACTCTGCCGCCCGCCGGCGCTGGGCCTCATCTCCCACGGGGCCCACGGGGCCGCAGGTAGGACTGCAGCAGGGCAGGGAGAGGGGAGGTGAGGCTGGGCCCGTGCCTCCTGCCCCGACAGTCGCCGCAAGCAGCGTCACCGGGCATTTCTCCGGCAACGGCCAGAGCGCCGGGAAGCTGACAGGGAGGAAGGAAGCAAAGAAACAGCCCCTTTTAGGGCCCAGAAGAGGGAGGAGTCCTCCGCGGGCCTCAGCCTCACTCAGCCTCTGAGCTGGTGGCAGAGCTCGCACAGACCCCAGAGGGAGTGGACCCGAGGGGGGCTGGGCTGGGAACTCGGCGGGTGTAGCCGGACAGCGGCACGCCGCCGGCCAAGTCACCCACAGACGCCCAGGCACCCCTGCCCAGCTCTCCCTGGCCCTCCCGCCGCTTGCAGACCACCGAACCCCTCTGGGCTCAGGGCTCCTCACCCCCACCTGCAGCTACTACCCCCCATGAGGACCACACGGGAGCCCACTGGGAGCCAGCGCAGCCAGGAGCCCCTTTATCACACGCCACCTGCGTGCGCGGCGCACGGGCTTCTCTGGGGAGCCAGCCAGTGCCTGGAGCCCGGCGGGCAGACCTGCAGGTGCCACGGGACAGACGACGCCACGGACAGCCGGGGCCCTGCTCGCCCAGCCCTGAGCCCCACTCTCGGAACCCCATCTCCCCAGGGACCTCCCGGCTCCCAGAGCCTGCGGCCGCCCCCCACTCACTACCCTTCCACGCGTGCGTGTGCCTGGGGGCGGGGCCTCATCCCCACCGTGTCCCCAGCCCCAGCAGGTGACAGCTCAGAGAGGTCCCTCTGAGGCAACCAAAGGAAAGGACGGCGGGGACGGCGGAGCTTGTGCAGCCCAGGAGCAGCCCTGCTGGCACTCCCCGCACTCCCTGCCGTGCCCCGGGCCTGGCTCACCCGAAACACGCTGCCGGCCACAGCCCTCGAGCAGAGCTGGGCAGCCCCACACTGACCGCGGGCTCTGTCCACGCAGGTCTGGACGACAGCTCCTTGGTGCCCCCAGGCCTCCGGAGGCTGAAGGACTCCCCGCAGACAGGTGAGGGTCACGGCAGCCCCCTGTCCCCGTGTCCACCGGCCATGGCCCTGCTACAGGGTAGCCGTGTCTGGTGTTTCCACAAGGGCCCCCAGCTATGGAAGAGCCTCAGACCACCCTCCCCTGGGGGAGACAAGCCCCTGCTGCCCCCTGCTGGATGGGGGCTAAGCTGCAGCTTCACGTGCCACAGACCCCAACCACAACAGAGGCCTGTGCTCCCGTAGGCAGGGGATGGGTGTGGGGCGCGGGACCCTTCTCCCGCCCACCCCAGGAGGGCCTAGAAATTGGGAGGCCTCTTGTCTGCCAGTGTGGGCTCCCCGGGGCCCCAGACCTGCCCCACCCGAGACCCCGCCCGCTCCCTCCACAGCTCCAGACAGGGGCTGGTGCTCCACGTGGGGGCCCGGTCACTTCACCACCTTCGACGGCCACACATATGACTTCTCGGGGACCTGCAACTACATCTTTGCGGCCATGTGCAAGGATGCCTCATCCACCTTCGGCGTGCAGCTACGGCGAGGGCCGAGCGGGAACATCTCCCGGGTCATCGTGGAGCTGGGGGCCTCTGTGGTCACTGTGCAGAAGGCGGTCATCTCCGTCAAGGACGTGGGGTAGGCTGCAGAGTCGGGCCGGGCGGCTGGGGCCCCGAGGGGCGGCCGCTGACTGCTGTCACCCTGCAGGGTCGTCAGCCTGCCCTACACCAGCAACGGGCTCCAGATCACACCCTTCGGCCAGAGCGTGCGGCTGGTGGCCAAGCAGCTGGAGTTGGAGCTGGTGGTCATGTGGGGTCCAGGCGCCCACCTCATGGTGAGGACGCGGCAGGGGACTGGGCGGCAGAGCTGCCCTCCTGGGGATTGGGGCCCTGAGCCCGGCCAGGAGCCTGGTCTTTTTGTTGGCTCAGTTCCCTCCAGCGAGCACGAATGGAGGTCCCCTGGGAGGAGCCGGGTGGACAGACCCTGGGGTGGCATGGCGCCAGGACCCTCCCCGTGAGGGGTGCTCTGGGCCACTGGAGCAGGCGTGAGCAGCTTCCGAGGGGTCCTGGGGCCCTGGGAGTCCTGTGCGCCTCCCTGCCCACCCGACGGCGGTGCCCGACCCCTCCAGGTCCTGGTGGAGAAGAAGCACATGGGCAAGATGTGTGGGCTGTGTGGGAACTTCGACGGCGAGAAGGCCAATGAGTTTCTGAGCGAGGACGGTAGGTGGGGGGAAGTGGTGGGGAGACCCCTCTGTGGCCCAGCAACCATGGTGCTGACCCTGCCCCACCCCTCACCCCAGGGCAACTCCTGGAACCCCCTAAGTACGCCGCCCTCCAGAAGCTGGATGACCCCAACGAGATCTGTGCCTATGAGGCCATCCCCAGCCCCCGGGTCCCGCAGGCAGAGAACGTACGTGAGGCGGTTGGGCTCCCCGGGGCCAAGGGGGCCCTTCAGCCAGGGTGGGGTCGGCTCACGGGATCTGGCAGGGTCCTGAGGCCAACGACACCCCCAGACTGCCAAGTCACACGCGTGGTGTGGGATGTGGCCTTGACCCCTATGACCCTGAGTGTCCCTGTGCCCAGGCCCAGACCTGCATCCAGTTGCTGACCCTGGTGTCCCGCGAGTGCAACGTGCCCAAGGAGCCCTTCCTGCTGAGCTGCCAGGCGGACATGGCCACGTGTGCCCAGCCCGGCCGGCACCACTGCAGCTGTGCCACGCTATCCGAGTACTCGCGCCAGTGCAGCATGGCCGGCCAGCCCGTCAACAGCTGGCGGGGCCCTGGCCTCTGTTGTGAGTCCTGGGGAGGGTCGGGGGGAGGGCCAGGGCCCCAGACACGATGCCCCCAATCTCCCCTTGTTTGAGAGACAGAGAAGACCCAGGTGGAGGAGGGGCTGGCCTGAGTCCTCGGCCAGGGTCGGGTGGGTGGCCAGGCCCTGGGCGCCCGACCCCTCTCACGAGGGCCACACGGGCCTGCAGCTGTGGGCCAGTGCCCAGCCAACCAGGTGTACCGGGAGTGCGGCAAGACCTGTGTGCAGACCTGCTCCAACCCGCGGCACAGCTGCTCCAGCTTCTGCACCTTCGGCTGCTTCTGCCCGGAAGGTGAGGACAGCTGCTCTCCCAGGACCCTTGGAAAGGAGCCTGGAGACAGGGCATCCGCTCCGCCCACACCCATGCTCGGAACCCCCAGACACTCTGCGGGTACTTGGCCCAGGGAGGGCTCTGCCTTCACGGTGTTCACAGACGCCCCGGGCCACAGCCGCATGTGCCAGTCAGCAGGGAGTAAGGTGGTGGGCAGAGGCGGGGTTTGCGCTGGACAGGGCCCGCTGCCCAATGAGGAGCGGCACCTAGCACGAGAGGGCGGGAGGCGGCGAGGCAGGCGGGGCTGAAGGCGGAGGCTCTCCTGGGGCACCCCCAGCCCCCTCCCCCCGGGCGGGACAGGGTTGGGGAGGAGCTGCCCAGCAGGAGGGCGGGAGGGGTCTCCGCGCCCCGCAGCCCCAGGAAGCCCCTCTCCCGCAGGTATGGTTCTGGACGACATCTCCAAAAACCACAGCTGCGTGCCTGTCCCCCAGTGCCCCTGCATGCTCAGCGGAGTAGTCTTCGCCCCTGGGGAGGTCACGACAGCCGCCTGCCAGACCTGGTGAGCGCAGGGCAGCAGGAGAGGCGTGCAGGCAGGCTGGGGGCAGGGAGGGGGATGCAGCGGCCTCAGCCCTGGGGGCCATCTGGGTCACGCCTCCTCGCCCACAGCCGGTGCTCTGGGGGCCGCTGGGAGTGCGTGGAGCAGCCCTGCCCCAGGCGCTGTGCCCTGGAGGGCGGCTCCTTCGTCACCACATTCGATGCCAGGCCCTACCGCTTCCACGGCACCTGCACCTACATCCTCCTCCAGGTAGGACGCAGCCTCCGCCTGGGGGCCGCCACGGCGGGTCGCCATGACAGCCTGGGCCCCCTGTGCTGAGCCGCCCCTCCTCCCAGAGCCCCCAGCTCCCCGACGGGGGCTCGCTCATGGCCGTGTACGACAAGTCTGGGTACTCGCACTCGGAGACATCGCTGGTCGCTGTCATCTACGTGTCCAGCCAGGTGAGGCCACCCCGCCTGCCACCTGTGCCCACCCGGGGCCCCAAGCAGATGCGCCCCAGCTCCCCCTCCACCCTGCCTGGCCCCAACTCCCAGCCCCCTGTAACTCAGCCACACCTCCCCGCAGGACAAAATTGTGATTTCTCAGGACGAGGTGATCACCAACAACGGGGACACCAAGTGGCTGCCGTATGAGACTCGTACGTCCTCAGCTCCCCCCCCCCAGCACCCGGGGCCTCACGAGCCCGCTCCCAAAGCAGGCCGCCTGCTGAGGCCCCTATCCCCTCAGGCAACATCACGGTCTTCAGGCAGACATCCACCCACTTGCAAATGGTCACCACCTTCGGGCTGGAGCTCGTGATCCAGCTGTGGCCGTTGTTCCAGGTGTACATCACTGTTGGGCCCCAGTTCAGAGGCCAGACCAGAGGTGAGTCCCTCCCCCGGCTGCCCCGTCCCCGCCCAGCTCGGCCACTCCAGAAGAGGAGGGGCCCAGCAGAGCCCTGCACTGACCCAGGGTGTCGGGCACTCACGGCCCAGGCCAGCTCCAGCTGGCCGGCTGGTCCTCCCAGGGGTGTAGCCAGCCATGGCCTCTCGCCCGGGGTGTGGTTAGGGGAGAAGACAGGCTTTGGGGAGGGCGGGGCAGGACAGGGGCATGGGCCAGTCCACCCTCACGTCCGGCCGGCCCAGGGCTCTGCGGCAACTTCAACGGGGACACGACGGACGACTTCACGACCAGCATGGGCATCACCGAGGGCACCGCCTCGCTCTTTGTGGACTCCTGGCGGGCAGGGAACTGCCCAGCCGCGCGCGAGCGTGAGACCGACCCCTGCTCCATGAGCCAGCTCAACAGTGAGTGCCATCCAGGAGGGCTGCGGGGTGGGCGGGAGGCCCCGACGGACCGCTGACCCACGCCGGCCTGCCCCCCAGAGGTGTGCGCGGAGACCCACTGCGCAGTGCTGGTGAAGAAGGGCACGGTGTTCGAAAAGTGCCATGCCGCCGTGGACCCCAAGCCCTTCTACAAGGTGGGCGGCCCCGTGGGCAGCGGGGGCGGGGGGTGGCGCAGGGGGCACCCTCGGGGTCCTGGGTGGGCACCCACGGCCCCTGTCTGCCCACAGAGGTGCGTGTACCAGGCCTGCAACTACGAGGAGACCTTCCCGCACATCTGCGCCGCCCTGGGCGACTACGCCCTCGCGTGCACCTCACGGGGCGTCCTGCTCCAGGGCTGGAGGAGCAGCGTGGACAACTGCAGTGCGTATGGGCCGGCGGGGCTGGTGCCACCCACCACACCCCCGCACCGGGCCTGACTCCAGGTCCCCCGCAGGCACCCCTTGCACAGGCAACCAGACGTTCAGCTACAACAGCCAGGCCTGTGACCGCACGTGCCTGTCTCTGTCCGACCGCGAGGTCGAGTGCCACCCCAGCGCTGTGCCCGTGGACGGCTGCAACTGCCCCGAGGGCACCTACCTGAACCACAAGGCTGAGTGTGTGCGTGAGGCCCAGTGTCCCTGCCTCCTGGACAGCTCCAAGTTCATCCTGGCCGACCAGTCCACCATGGTCAATGGTGTCATCTGGTGAGCGAGGGGTCCAGAGGGTGGCCGCCCGGCCTGCAGCCCAGCCCAGGCGGCGCTCACCGGGCCTCTCTCCTGCAGCTACTGCGTCAACGGGCGGCTGAGCTGCCCAGCACAGCCTCAGATGCTCTTGGGTACGTAGCTGTAGCCGAGGCTGGCGGAGCTGGACTGTGGGTGCCTCGGCCCCTCTGGGCCCGCCTCACCCCATGCCCCTTGTCTCTGCAGCAACCTGCTCGGCCCCCAAGACGTTCCAGTCCTGCAGCCAGTCCTCAGAGGACAAGTTCGGGGCAGCCTGCGCTCCCACCTGCCAGATGCTAGCCACCGGCACCCCCTGTGTAAGACCAGGTGGAGCGAGGGCAACTGTGCTCCGCGGAGGGCAGGCTCCACTGCCCGGGGTGCCGGGGACACCCTGGGTTAGACGTTCCCACGGCAGACGCCCCGACATCTTCTCCTTGGCCCACAAGAAGAGTCCCACAGACCCCTCACGAAAGGCGGGCCATGCTCCATCCCCACCGTCCCATGATGCGCGTGACCGGTGGCGTGGCCGCCGGGTGTGCTCCTTTGTGGGCTCCCTGAGGACCGTGGGCCCTGCCAGCTTGGGGTGAGGGTACACCAGCCCAGCCATGCCTCAGAGGTGATGCCCCTCAGAGAGGGGCAGCTGTGCTAAGGGAAGGCCCAGAGCAGGACGGACGCAGGGAGCAGGTCTGGGGAGAACGCTGGAGAGTCTCAGAAGGTCCCAGGGCTGCGGCGGCAGCAAGCAGGGCCACCCTCCAGGGGCCACTGACCCTCCCCCCTGCAGGTGCCCACCAAGTGTGAGCCTGGCTGTGTCTGTGCCAAGGGGCTCTACGAGAACGCCGGCGGACAGTGTGTGCCCCCCGAGGAGTGCCCGTGCGAGTTTGCAGGCGTCTCCTATCCCCAGGGCGCCGAGCTCCACACGGACTGCAAGAGCTGGTGAGCCACAGCCCTACCCACAGACCTGGTGGCCCAACTGTCCTTAAGCCCTTGGGGCGGGCAGGGGCCCCTACCAACCCATGAGGTCAGGGTCCTACGGGGGTGCCTGTGCCCCGGTCACCCCAGAATGCCCTGCTCCTCCCACAGCAACTGCTCCAGGGGGACGTGGACGTGCCGGCAGAGTGCCCGCTGCCCATCCACCTGCACCCTCTACGGGGAGGGCCACGTGGTCACCTTCGATGGGCAGCGCTTTGTGTTCGATGGCAACTGCGAGTATATCCTGGCCACAGTGAGTGCTGGCCTGGGCCACAGGGGGGGCCATGGGGGGCCCAGGGGTCCACAGGGCCGGCTCCTCCTCAGCGCCATCTCCCCACAGGACAGCTGCGGTGCCAGCGACTCGCAGCCCACCTTCAAGATCCTTACAGAGAATGTCGTGTGTGGGAGGTCGGGCGTCACCTGCTCACGGGCCATCAAGATCTTCCTGGGGGTGAGCAGGCGGGTGGCCTTCCCAACCTCCCCCCAGGGCCCCAGGGCCTGGCCTCTCGGGGCCCTCACGGCCCTGTGCCCTGGCCTCCACGCCCACATCACAGGCAGCAGTGTCCCCGGAACTGGACCACCGTACAGCAGGTAGGGGTTCTCCCACAAGCCTGACCCTCAGTCCTCGACACAGTTTCCAGCATGTTCTGGAACCTTCTGCCAACAGAAGGCTCTAGAGGGCAGACCCCCCAGGCCAGGGCTGGCCCTGCCATGGAGAGCTCAGGCCGGGAGGCAGAGCCCAGTGGCATTTAGTGGCCACCCAGGACGTGGGCAGGCATCCTGTGACAGCCGCACCCCACAGGGCCTGTCCATCATGCTGGCGGATAGGAACTACACAGTCAGCGGGGAGGACCCCGTCGTGCACTTCCGGGTCAAGGCCAGCTCCATGCACCTGGTGCTGGACGCCACCGTCAGCAGCACGTACAACCTGACCCTCATCTGGAACAAGCACATGACCGTCTTCATCAAGATCACCCGTGCCTCCCAGGTACCGCCGCCCCTGCCCCACAGCCCCAGGGAGTGGTGAGGCCCTGCTTGCGGCCGCCTGACACCAGCCCCCGCAGGGCGCCCTCTGCGGCTTGTGCGGCAACTACAACGGGAACATGAAGGACGACTTCCAGACACGCAGCAAGTACCTGGCGTCCAGCGAGCTGGAGTTCGTGAACTCCTGGAAGGAGAGCCCGCTGTGCGGGGACACCACCTTCACGCAGGACCCCTGCAGCCTCAACACCTTCCGTCGCTCCTGGGCTGAGCGCAAGTGCAGCATCATCAACAGCCAGACGTTCGCCGCCTGCCACGGCCAGGTGCCCCCCCCGTGCCCGTCCTACCCTGGCCGGCGCCCCGGGCTCAGCGGCCAAGCCGTCAGGGCCAGGTGCCCCCCCAGTGCCCGGTACTACCCTGGCCGGTGCCCCGGGCTCAGCGGCCAAGCCGTCAGGGCCAGGTGCCCCCCCAGTGCCCTGTGCTACCCTGGCCGGCACCCCGGGCTCAGCGGCCAAGCCGTCAGGCGAGGGCTAGCCGGGAGGAGCCTGGCCCCGCCCTGATGCTGAGGGCCGGCCCCCGCAGGTGTACCACCTGCCTTACTATGAGGCCTGCGTGCGCGACACGTGTGGGTGTGACACCGGCGGGGACTGCGAGTGCCTGTGTGACGCTGTGGCCACCTACGCCAAGGCCTGCGTGGACAAGGGCGTGTGCGTGGACTGGCGGTCCCCAGACTTCTGCCGTGAGTCCCACTCCTGCCCAAAGGCCTCTGCAGGGCCACAGGCGGAATGTCCGGCTGCAGCGCTTCCCCCGGGCAGGGGGCGGGGGGCAGGCAGCACCCCCAGGGAGGCAGAGGCACCCTGAGCCCACTGGCAGGTGCGGGCTCCCGGGCCAGCTCTGCCGCCTGACGGTGCCCTTCCCCACAGCCATCTACTGCGACTTCTACAACACCCACACGCAGGTGGGCGGCGGCAAGTACCAGTACGCCCAGGAGGCCAACTGTACATGGCACTACCAGCCGTGCCTCTGCCCCGCGTCGCTGCGGAGCTTCCCGGGGACCAACATCGAAGGTACTGGGCGCAGAGAAGGAGACGGGAGGAGGGGAAGGCCTGGAGGGATTGGGACTGCTGGCGGGTGGGATGTGGGGGTGTGTCTGACAGTGGGGACCCAGGCAGGCACCTGCGCCTGGGGATCGGGGGAGCGGCCAGGAGAGCCGGGGCTGGGGGGGCGACCAGGCCTGGGGAAGAGGGGTTTCTGGCTCTGGACACTGAGGTCTGGCTCTTCTCTGCACACCCCCTCAGGCTGCTACAACTGCTCCCAGGACGAGTACTTCGATCACGACAAGGGGATGTGCTTGCCATGCAGTAAGCTCAGTCCACTGCCCAAGACCCCCCACGCCCCCGCCCAGAGCTCGCAGCTCCTGCCCAAACCTCTGGCCAGCCTCCCAGCACCCCCACTCCCCAGGGGCACAGCCAGAGACACAGGGAAAGGGATTGGCCCTCGCCTCCCTTCCCCTCCCCAAACATCCACTCACCCAGCCTGCGGCCACAGGGCACACCCAGGCCCCGCCAGCCTGCTGGGGTGTGTGGGTGCAGAGCAGGGACCTCCTGGGGTTCAGCAGCAGGCAGCCCAGTGGGCACTGGACACTACCTGCAGCTACCCTTGGGCAGCACCCCGGCTGGCCCCTCCACTCCCTGCCAGGCCATCGGTGCAGAGGTGGGAGGAGGGGAGAGAAGACGGGGAGCAGGGGTCCCAGCACTTCTGCGGTAGCTCCATCCCCCGTGTCCTCTGCCTCACACCCTGGGGACACAGCTGAAGGCTCTGAAGGGCCCAGGCAGGCGGAGATGGGGCGGGGAAGCAGCACCCCCAACCGCCCCTCCTCTTGCTGCGTCATCACCCACCGTGCCACTGCCCACGGCAGGTGACTGCACACATGCAAGGTGCCGAGGTGAAGCAGGCTCTCTCCCGGGGCTCCTTCCCGGCTCCACCAGCCAGGCTGCAGCCAGCCCAGCCTGTGTCTGTCCGCCCAGTGGCCGCAGCCAGGCTTGCGGGTGTGGGGCGGGGCAGGGTGTAGCTGCGCTGGCCCTGGGCTGCTCGGCACGGTGGGGGCGGCAGGTGCTGACCAGGAAGTCAGACGGGAGGGGCTCGGTAGGCCCCACTGGGCCCTGCGGCCTGGCCACCAAGCAAAGCGGGGCCAAAGGACACACGCCCTGCCAGGAGCCCCCACTGCCATGAGGGCCGCTGCCCGGCCCGCGTGGCTCGGGGGCCCAGCAGGGAAGTGAAGGGCTCCTCCCAAAGGGTGTGCCAGAGCAGCTCCCTACCCCACAACAACAGCATGTGTGCCACACTCAGGCTTCCACAGCACGGAAACCAGGCCCACCACAGCCGCGGCCAGCACCACAGTGACCCCCAGCACCACTGGGCTGAGCTCCACCAGACCCTTGCCAAGCTCCCCGGCCACACCTGAGGCCCCGATCCAGACACCCAGCCTTCCGGCCACGCCAACGGCCACAGCCACAGCCCCCACCACCCAGACACAACCAACAGTCCCCTCAGGAGGTAGGGCCCCCGGGCCAGGGCCCCAGGGTGGGTGGGGAAGCACCCGTGGCAGTGCGGATGGGGCTGAAGGGGATGTCGGGCGCTGTTCCCTGCAGATTCACCTCGAACCACCTCCACTGCCACCACACGGGCCACATCGGTGCCGGCCACCACGGCCACTCGAAGGCCAACAGCCACGGCACCCACCGTGACCCAAGCCACAACACAGCCCACAGGATCCTCCCACGACACAGCCACACGGTCCACAGCTCGGTCCACAGCGCGAACCACAGCAGCCCCGCCAACCCCGGCATCAGGGACCTCCACAGTGTCGCCCGCAAGTAAGCATGCCACCACTGCCTGTCCCCACAGAGGGGCCTCAGCGGGGCAGCCCCAGTGCCCAGCCCAAGCTGTGAGGGGCCGCGTGGAAGACAGCAGCCTTGGGCCACCCCCACGACCACACAGGACCAGCTCAGGCCCGAGGGAGGCAGCAGCCTGCCTGACTCAGCACGCTCCTCTTTGCACATCTCCCCCGCCACGGTACCCAAGCACCCATCCACCACGGCCACCCCCACCAAGGGAATCCACAGGCCCCAGAGGATGCCAGGGCTCCAAAAGTCCCCTGACCCAAGTGCAGGCCCCAACTCTGGGGCAGGGCCCCAAACCTCCGATTACCCTGACAGCAGGCGAGAAGAGAAGCCCTTTCCCAAGGCTAGTGGCAGGGGAGCCATGCAGGGATAGCCGAGCCCACCTGAACAACGGCCGCCCTGAGAGTAGCGTTGAGGGGACAGAGCCATGCAGGGCTGCCGGGGAGGGACCCCAAAGCCCACTACAAGCAGCTAAGAGGCAACAAGGGTCCACAGAGAATGCCGGGGTGGGGCTTGGGAAAGGAACGAGATAGTCAATCAGAAAACTCCTGGACACACCACCAGGGACACACAGAAGCCACATGTGAGGAGGACGATGTGGAAGGTGTGGGTGATGAATGAGTCACACCCAAAGGCAGGGTAACGAGGAGGAGTGAACTGACCACCACTGTTTTCTACAGCATTCTCAACACACCGCTGGACCCCTGAAAGCTCTGTCAGCCAGGAGACACAGCAGACGGACCTCCCACGGCCCCCGGAGAGCACCACAGGCCACAGCACAATGCACACCAGTCCACGGTCAAGAGCCACCACTGCTAGGGCCGAGGCAGGCACCAGTCACACCACACACTCTGCATCCAACCCCCTAACACACACCGCCACGGCCACACCCCCCATGCCACACACCCCTTCCACCACTCACTCCACCCCCACCCTTTCTGTCCCCACTACCACCCACACAACAGCTCCGCCCACGGGAACACCCTTCTGGACTGCCACCACCTACCCCACCCCATCACACCCACAGACGCTTCCCACCAACATGTCAACATCTGTCACCTCCTTGGTGGCTCCAACCTCTCACCGAGTCACCACGTCAACAGAGTCCCACGCTACCTCCTCCAGCCCGAAGCCAACTGGCACCCCACCCACATCGACACATGTTCCTGTCACAGAAACAGAGCCTACACCCACAGCCCCGCCACTGACCAAGACCACAACAGGGACCACCACACCCACAGCCCC